CTCGTTTTTTGAGATTTAAATTTGTTAATTTTATCTGATAATGGCAGTTTTTAGAATTTCAATTGTTTCTCTATTTCTTGTGTACTGCAGTTACGTACGTAAGATTGTAGTTAGAATTTAGGCTGTATGCAAAGTTCGTGTTTAATGAAAAATCCTTCCTTTTCTTGTTCGTACGTATGGTCTTTATGCATATTTATTTAGAAATCGTGAGATGCGGTCTGGTGTGATGTAGGTTTCAGAAAAACATTTTCTTTATCGTGCCAACATTTCGATCTTTATTGAGATCATCTTCAGGGCTCAAAGTGTTTGTCTTCTGTGTAATTGTGCCATTCTTGCGTGTCGTGTCGAGAGTGCCCCCCTGAAGATGATCTCAATAATGATCGAAACGATGGCACGATAAAGAAAATGTTTTTCTGAAACCTACGTCACACCAGACCGCATCTCACGATTTCTAAATAAATATCGATTAACGGTCACTTATCACCACACAATTATGCATATTTTTATTTTATTAATACATTTATATTATTACATAACATTATGTAGTTATTAGTGCGTTTTATATCGAATACTGCCTTGGGAATGTTTGATGCTCAGTTATTAGTTGAGAATGTAGGTTTATTCTCGTTATGATTTATGCTCGAGTAGGTTTATAGCGACAGTTGTTGCTTTTTTTATTTTTATACACTAGCATGCCTGAAATTTATTTATTATATTAATAAAATCTCTGTTGATAGCTAATTTTAATATTGATATTACTATGTTGATATTCAATTACAGAATAATAATTAACGAATTATGTAATTTTTTTATACGACGTAAACGAAGCTAATAAAATTCAGCGCTATGTGTTTATATAAGTTAAAGAATTCTTTTGCCGAATCCGTTTTTGAAAAACTTTTATTCAAGAAATTACAAAATAGGACAGATATACATTATTTCTTTAAATTTACTCATCTAAATCGAATTTCTCCGATATGCATTTCTCTGAAAATCTAACTTAAGACTATCTAGTTGGTTAATAAAACTGCTTATAAAATCTGTGGAGTGTGAGAGAGTGCAGATGACAATTCCAGGAGCAACACGTGCATCCTAGCATTGTCATCACCTTATTTATTTAATAAAATAATTATACTGTATATAACTTATATACATAGTTAATTCGTACATCACAATGTAGTTGTACATTGAAAAATGGGAAAAAGGAGGGAAAACTCATAAGGTGGGGTTGAGATAGGAAGTTGATGTCCGAGTGGATCGAGGTCACGATAGCTCAAGTGGTAGAGCAGCGGCGTATCTAGCCGAAGATCGTGGGTTCGAATCCCGCTCGTGCCATTAACTTTTTTTCATATCAACTGAAAGCCTTAATTAATTGTAATGATTTAATTGGTCAAGCGGACCACGAAATTAGTGAATTTAAAGTAGTTGTATATGTTGGTAAAACGAAGGTTCGACCAAACTAATGGCAATGTACACTATTTCCTATCATTTCTGTAAGCTTGATTTTTGCTACTGCTGAGACCAGAAGGTCATGTTCGAAGTTAGCATTTCATGTTTTGGTTTGCCATTTATTTTCATGAGCGGTTTAAGTTGCAGGTAAGAAGATCTCTGATAGAGCTTAATTGTATTTTTGCAATAACGGATTGGATGTGCACAGAAGGCCACAAGGAGTCGTGCATCGTAATAAACCGGACGTGCAATCTTCTTGTAATGAACTGGCGATACGCAGGACGCGTAAATATGACGAAACATTCTCTTAAAAGAGATCATTAAACTTTAGCACTCGGACATAATCCTTGAAAACGAATTTCGCTTATCTCGTAAGGAGTTAGCAGTGTAATTATCGTTCCGGATCGACCTATTTACAACTCGTCTTCATTTAAGACATGAACATGCGTTATGTGTAACATTGAAAAGATTTATTCATAGATGTAGTTTATAAACGGTGTATCTTTTCACAGGAGGAAGACAAAACATCCTGCAGCTATGCAATTCGCATAGAAAATTAGACAATCGTTCAAGACGCATGGCTAACACGGTCGCTACAAAAGCAACCAGACCAGTTCATAAAGCGAATAGATAAAATTCGATCATTGATCGGTCTAAAAATATCGAAAACCAGTTTTTTCATTTTATTTCTTATGAAGAATAAAGAATTTTTTGTGCAATCAACAATGATTGTGGAAACTGGCGAGGAATTTTAATTGGATGTTTTCTCTCCAAATGAAGTTGTGGTATTACTGACTGACTTATGGCTAAAAGATTTTTTTAAACCAGTCCCAATCTATTGGCAACTGTTTTGGTTAAAAAGTAGATTCTGAGAGTATGACTAGAGAACATGAGTCTGACAGAAGAATAATTTTCCAAACAGTAAAAAATTGTTTTGGGTTTGACAACGCAGAATACAATTGCCGGTTCGATGCATTATTTTGGTAACCTCTTGAATGGATTCGCAAGAGTATTTTATTTAAAATTATCACTAGTGAAATTGCACAAACTTATCGAAAGAATTCGTAGATCAGGAAGGATTCACTTCGTCCATACCTCACAATGGTTACGAGCCCGGACCGACACGTCCGTCACGATTTGGCCCAGATATTTGAGCAGGGAGTTGCATCAAAACTGTTGGGCAAGGAATGGGTGGGAAACAATGACCTCACCAATCCAAAAACACTTCGGAGGGATCATCTTTGCCGCGAAATAAGTACGTCCTGATGGGCGCCTGAAGCCCAGTGGGGAAATGTTTTTCACAGTTAAAGTGGATAATGAAAGATAACCTCACATTTCGCCAAAATATAAAAGTGCTCTTACATCACTAGTTGAACTTTATCTTCATCAATTTAACGGATTTATTTACGGAAATAATATAAAATTCTCTCTCATACACTCTCTCTCTCTCTCTCTCTCTCTCTCTCTCTCTTCTCTCTTCTCTCTTCTCTCTCTCTTTCTCTCACACGCTCTCTCTCTCTCTCTAGCTTTCTAACTGATCAATCTATCTAGTTTTATCTTTCGTCTTATCTGTCTATTTTTCTATCTATCAATCTCTTTCTGGTCTCTCTCACCCTTTATCTCTATTTCCCTTTATATATCTATTTGTCTATCGACAATCTCTCTTGCGCTCTCTCTCTCTCTTCTCTCTTTTCTCTTTTCTCTTTTCTCTCTTTCTCTCACACGCTCTCTCTCTCTNACTGCTAAAATGAGAAAGAAAGAAAAGAAAAACAGGGAATACCCATCTTTATTTATCTATTTGTTTATCTATTTTTCTATCTATCAATCTCCATCGCTCTCTCTCTCTCTCTCTCTCTCTCTCTCTCTCTCTCTCTCTCGCTCGCTCTCTCTCTATCTATCTATCTATCTATCTATCTATCTCTATCTCTATCTATCTATCTAACTATCTACCTCTAGCTATCTGTCTGTCTATCTATCTATCTTTACCTCACTCTTATTCTTATTTATCCTTTCTCTCTATCTATCTTACATAATTATCAGCATTTTAATTATTATTGATCATTTTCATTTGTTTACAATCGTTGTGGATTTGAATTTATTAGTATTGTTCTGCATGGCTGTATGTATGCTGTATTCTGTACATCAGAAATTACTGTGGTAAATTTTGATTAAATTGTTTTACTAATTAGCCAATTATTGTTAGGTGTTACGGCTGTACTGTTTAATACTTATAAATGATCGGATGAAGGTTATATTATTGATCTTGTTTGACTTTGTTCGCTTGAATTTTATTCATAATGTCATTATATTTCAAAGGTTTCGTAATTACAAATCTATCATCACGTTTTGATTATAATTAATTCCTTGAAAACGTTAGAAAAAAAATCCTCAATTTCTGTCCAATTGGCCTTATCCCTAATTTTTAATATTATATTATAATTTTAATTTATCATTTCATTTGTCGCCGAGAATCGAATCCTGATTGCAGGACCTTTGGGCAAAAATGGCAAATAGGAGGGAAAATTCGAAAAGTTGTAGGTTGAGATGGGGAGTTTGTGTCCAAGTGGATGGAAGTCAATATAGAGCAGCTGCGTATTTAGCCGAAGGTCGTGGGTTCGAATCCCGCTTGTGACACTGACTTTTTATTTCAACCAAAACCTTAATTAAAGATTAATTAATTGGAAAGAATTTATTTGGTCAATCGGACCACGAAGCCTAATAGATTATATTATAATATTAATAGATGTAATTCCATTTACATTGTATAAACCAGTCTCAGTGGGGAGTCTTCTTCGATTTGCAGGTCAAATATGTTTTCGAAGATAAACAAAATCATTTTGTTTTGCAAAACTTTCCTATTAATTTAGAAATTTAGAAAAGAATTTCAACGTTTAGTATGGCATCATCGATGTGTAGTTTTACACAACTTCGTAAAAGTGATTGAGTCTTGCTCGAGTGATTTATAGATAAAAAGGAAAAATGGCGGACTGCGGAAAAAAAAGATCAGTGTGTTTCACTCTTGCACGTCTATAGTGGATGTCCTAAATTTATAACCCGTCCATCCTTGTCAATTTGACATTCTAGCGGAGGGAAAATGATAAAGTATCAGACGTGATCAATGGATCAATGTTCAGCTGCAAATCTGCAATTCATGACGAGTTGAACTATCATTGTACAAATTCCACTTTTTTGCTGTCTAAATTGATTATTTCCGATAAAGGAGGCTGGCTAATTATATCGAAGGCAATAATAGTTCAATTATTATAATTAATGCCAGTTTAAAACGTCAGATTAGATCAGAGTTGTTTCCGTTTAAGGGGAACAAAATTATAAGGCAAAATATTATATCTAGAAATATTTTTATGAGATTATTATGGTCTGAAATTGTTTGAATAAGTAACAGCCCCTGATTGAACAACATTCTCTCTGAGATTTTTCGCATTTTCATATATCTTTATGTTGACGAAAGTTGACAAGTTAGATTGCTTCCTCTTCCCTTGTCAGTCCTACTAATCAAACCGCAACTAAATCGGTTTCTTTTTATTTTACAGCCGTCCGGATGGAGAAAGCTGAGGAACATAGTTCAATGGACACCATTCTTCCAGACCTACAAGAAACAAAGATACCCGTGGGTTCAGTTAGCCGGACACCAAGGTGAGAAATCAAAAAGCGAAATTCTTCCCCGAGGATTCGGCCGGATTAAAAGAGGCCGAGTTGTAAAAGCTTTATCGCCTCTTCGGCCCAAAAGATCCGTTATCATTTCTTTTCACTTTGCCCAGAGATAAAGCCGGTATAAATCAACCCGGCTGTAAACACCCGGGATACTGGAAGAGGCGTCGTAAGGTCAATATACTGCTTTAACTCTCACAACTGACGTTTTTCTACCGATTTCGACAAAACAAACACAAAAATTTATTTTCTAAGTCACTCGAAAAAATGACTCATAAAATTGTGCAAATTTGAATTTATTGATTTTTTAACACGTGATATGAGGTGGTTATGGAAGGATGTGTTTTCATTAAATATCATCTTTGATCATTCCTTTTCAAAAGTCTGGAGCATTTCTATATATTTTTGTTGTATTATTTCTTGTTTTCTACAACTAAAGATAAATTTAATAACCACCTAAACCTATTTTAATTTATTGACCTGTTTTTTTTTAAACGACAGCAAACAAAATTAAACATGAATATGGTTTTCGTATTGAAAAGGTACACTTGTTCCTCAGAAAATGCTTTTTAGTTGGATCATATGGAATAGTGTCCACACCAAATTTTCTTTTTCGTTACCTTCAAAAATTTTGCATGTAAATTGTATGCTTCTTTGCTGCTTTACCCAACTAGAATTGTTTATAGAAATAATCGTTTTTCTTCCTTTGTTAATTAAATTAAAATTCTGCTTTCTCGAATGTCCATTTTTTTACTGAAAAATCGAATGTTGAATCAAAAATCAAAGACTGGTTAATTGTCAGTTGTGGAACAATTGTTTGGCAATATCTTAAAATTTTTTTTTAATTTATCAAGGGTTGATAACAAAACGTTAATGTTTCATACAGTAGCAGCATTGTTAATCATGTAATCAGACGTGATTCAAACCTATATGTGATCAATACCTAGGGACGTTATACATAGAGAGAGAGAGAGAGAGAGAGAGAAATTAATTGACTATCAATAGATAGTTTATTGATTTAGAAATTCATTGTCCCTTCTAGTTAAAAAGCAAATGAATAGAGGGGAAAAGAGGTTCAGAAATGGTGAGAGAAGAATAGAGTCAGTGCAATTAATGAGAAATAGAAAGATTAAGAACGTGACAAGAAGGAACAAAGGAATTAGGATAAGAAATAAGCAGTCAGAGAAAAACGAAAGAATCAAAAATTATGGTACAGAAAATTTCGAAAGAATAGAAAATGAACGAAAAATAGAAACAAAAGATTTTTTAAACTTATTATTAAATAGCAACAGAAGGTAAACACGTGGTTTTTGCACCTGAAATGAATTTATATATTAGCTGGAGTGTTCAGCAAGTGTGGGTGGCTTGTGGCGGAATATTAAGTACCCCACAGACCCAATAAAGTAGATTAGTTTTGTAGCAGCTATTTTTAGAGTGAAAGGGGGCTTAATATTAATACTCCGGTGATTCCTCAATTTTGAGCTGTACATATGGTATTAAAGGTCATAATCAGTATGATTGTATTTATTAGCGTAACTAGGCTAATTTTGAATGCGTGGGTATGCATCAGTCTTTCACCACGTGTGAAGAGGTAAAACGAGAAGATATCAAGCTCAGAATTCCATCAGAAAGATCGGTAGGCCTCCCACGCGAGAGCCAATTACTTTCACGCTTAAAAAAAAAAAAAAAAAAAAACGCATGTGCTGGCATTAGCCCTGGTTGCTAGTCGGCCGGGAAAAAAAAGGGAGAAAAGTAAGAGTAACAGAGTTAAATAAACAAATAAATATACACAGATAGAGTCAGTTGAAAAGAAAAGTTGTAAATATTATTGTTACAGGTCGCCGAATTTATGGTTGCTCTAATGTACTGGAAATTAATTTAAACAACTGCTTTGAAAAAAAAAATTGAGAAGAGGGAGATATTTAAAAAGAGAGAGAAGTTAAATAGAAGATAAAAGAACATGACAGTAGGCGATTGGAAAAAATTAAACAGATTTGATAGAGCCTGACGCAAAAAAAAAGTGTATAAGTGTTCAGATTAGACTGAGACAATGTGAGAGAGCGAGAAAGAGAAAGAGAGAGAGAGAGAGAAAGAGAGGGAGATGATTTCCAGAGAGTGAGAGAGAGAGAGAGAGAGAGAGAGAGAGAGAGTCAGTAGGAATAAAATCTTGAAACATTTCATTCACCCAATCGAAGGTGTTGTAATGTACTGCAAACAAAATATAAATAAATAAGATTTTTTGAACAAGAGAAAGAGAGTAATGAAGAGATTGGTAGATATGTAAAAAGAGAGAGAAGGTAAAAGAGAGCAAAAAAGAACATGAAAGTGGGGGATTAGAAAAAAAGTAATCAAATTTGAAAGAGCGTGACACACAAAAAAGAGTACATGTGTTCAAAGTAAAATTGAGTTAGACAGAGAGACAGAGAGAGAGAGAAAGAGAGTGAGATGATTTCCAGAGAGAGAGAGAGAGAGAGAGAGAGAGAGAGAGAGAGAGAGAGAGAGAGAGGAAAACTATTTATCACAAAAATTAAAATTAACATGTAAGTTTACAAAACGCTGAAAAGGTCGATGGATCAAAGATCCCCATACCGATCGTTACTCTAAAAATACATTTGTCCGAAATAGAGATAAATAAAATTATTTATCCTCGATCTTGTAAACAAAATATCTGATTGAATTTTTCGTTCTCACCCTCGAATGAACCGAAAACAAAGGATACAGCCCACCCTCTCATCTTAAGTGCATATATGTTCTACATAGTTTTAAAGTTTCTCCAAAGTAATTTATTTATTATTTATTAAAATAATGTCAAACCGCTGATCAGAAACCTTAGAACATCAATTTGTAGATATTAAAAACCTTTTACGAGAGAATCTTTATGGTTTTTTAACGTTAGTGATGTCACATTGCCAACTAGACAAAATTTTTATCCAGTGTGTTAATTAATTTCAACGTGGCATATATAATTAATTGGCATAAACAAAAACCCCATTGGAACGGTACATTAGTCTAATGAACATGTGTGATGTTTAGAAGTTTTCTAAAGTGAAATATGGAAATTAATGATGATTTAAAGTAGGTAATCTACGAGATTGTGGCCGGATGCGGTGGGGATAAAACCGGATTATCGTTGACAGAGTAAACCTTGTTAATCCATAAATGTGTCGGTAGCGAGCCGCGAGGAGGACGTGCTCTATATGGCGTCCTGGCTTGAAATGCAAATAACGGTTTTTATTTTTGGCATGCCCATTTTTAAGTCTTAGGATGCCGAAATGGTCCATTCCTCAGTGACGTAGATTAGGGTTCGTTCGACCCTGAAGAAAAGAAAACATATTGAACCGAGGGAACAAAAGTTTGTAATAGTGGTTATCAACTACTGACAATGAACTTCTCGGTCTTTCCGGTTACGCTTTGATGAAATTAAGAACCACAATTTTAGGCATCTTGCCACTATTGTTATAATTTAGCCAAAATCTAGTAAAATTTGATCAAATAAACCAAATTTGTATTGATTTGTAAAGGCCTCGGTGAAAACATACTTTGGTGAATTTACAAAAATTTACATTCGAATTTATATAAAGTTGTCATAATGTTTGACTCTTCGGATTTTAATTGTTAGACTCAACTCATAATCACAATTGAAATATATAACTTTGAAGGAATCCACCCCCATTGTTCAGATCTGTAATGTGACTAAACCAACAAATTAATTAAATAATTAGACTTTTAGATCTTGATTATCAAAATTTTTATCTTTTTCTTAAAATCCACGGCTCGTAGCAATTATTATCCCAAAGGTTGAAAAATCCCAAGTTATCCGTGGTTGAAATATTTTATTTATTTTGTCTATTACACGGATGTTTCGGCCTTACGGCCCATCATCAGAACCTAAACATGAAAAAACTCATTGCTATCCGAAGATACACAAATAAGTAATTTACAAAAAATATTATTTGGATGGATTATTTTTTGTAAATTACTTATATGTGTCTCTTCGGATGGCAATTGTACCATAAGGTTTTCCATGTTTAGGTGCTGACGATGGGCCGTAAGGCCGAAACGTCCTTGTAATAGGCAAAATAAATAAAATGTTTCAAGCACGGATAACTTGGGATTTTTCAACCTTTTGGATAATAATGAAAATTTTTACAAAAATAGCTTAGAAGGAGCAAGTGGAGAAAAAGCTAATCACTTTTTGAATATCCCATCAAAACTATTTTTCATATTAACTTCATTAGGATCATCGTGAAACTATGGTCAAAGATGGTAAATATTCGAACAATTGGGTTTCCATCTACCATCAGAATTTTGTTAAAAATTGCCTCAGTGGCCAAAAGATAAATTGCCCTATGAAAAAATATCCTTCGTAGTATGCCACTAAATTTTATAGAAAATTGAATGAAAATAAATTGTATTTGTATGTAAGGTTTTGGTTGAAATGAAAAAGGTAGTGCACGAGCGAGATTCGAACCCACGACCTTCACGCGCCGCTGCTCTACCACTTGAGCTATCGTGGCTTCGATCCACTCGGACACCACTCCTCGTGGCACTAACTTTTTCATTTCAGCCAAAACCTTACATAAAAAGATTAATTAATTAAAAGAAGTAATTTGGTCAATAGACCACTAAATACAATGGATAAATTGCATTGTTGAACAATTTGACATTGATTTTTTTTGTTAACCAAGTCGAGTAATTGATGCAGCTTTCTTTTAAATTTTTAATAATGCAATATATAAATTTGCAACTCTTCATTGAGCTTTTTCTCTGCCCAACAGACGTACACCCAATTAATAACATGGATTGCAAAAGTCCACTGCTAGTGACAGTGAAAATAAATACACAAAAAATCGCTCAAGACGTTCCGGCGACATTCGACATTACTCCTAGACATTACTCAAACATAATTAAACCTCATTTATTTCCCACCCGGCTCCGGTGTCAACAATTAATAATGTCGGCTTGCAGCGAACCTCTTAAACATG